ATGTGTTTTATTTCAGGTTTGACTTAGTTGTATAGAAACAACCAAACAACAGGGAATATATTAAACAACCTTAAAGAAGGTTGTTGATTGAATTGATTCACTTGATTGTAAGAAAAAAAGAATGAATATCCGAATAAATTTTTTGATTTAAGAATGTAAAACTGTGTCTATTTAAATAGGGGAAAATATCTGAATTAAAATAGATAATGTAGGAAAAAAATTTAAATTTCTTTTATTAGGTCGGCCCCGGGCTCGGGCTCGGGCTCGGGCTTCGGGCTTTTTGTCAGGGCCGGGCTTGGGCCCAAGTTCTAGGCCCGTTGGTCAGGCTCGGGCCTATCATTTTTTCATTAATGAAGACTAAAAGCCCGGCCCGACCCGGCCCATGAACAGGTCTACCTGGGAGTGCAAAGTCACCTCCTTCAATGATCGATGTATTTCAATCTCGAGGCATGATTCGATCAGTCTGGATCAGGTAGGCATGCACAAGATTGTAATAAAGCACATTAAATGAGCACTTAGAAAATTTTTTGACACCATGTCCCTTAAAACACCTCTGACCTATCCTTGAAAAGAATTAAAAACTACTTTTGACTGTCATAATATATATCAAGTGCTCATTAAATGTGCTTAATATATTGTTTCTAGGAGATCTAGTCCATGATTTGATAGCTTAGATGAGTGGAGTCAGATATTTTCTTTTGAAGAGGCTAAGTTAAACAAGAAAATGAAATAGGGAGTAGAAGATGTAGGGCTTCAAGAGAAATGAGGTGGAGAGATTTGGGTCTATTACAGATCTTTTTAAAAAAAAATAAACAATTTTTTTTTATTATTATTTTGGGAGTTGGAGGAGAACTAGAGATTCCTTTTTGGTATTTAACACAACACGATAATTACTCTTAAAGGTGGTAATAGCGGGACTCGAATCTGCACATACCAGGATGGGACTACCCAGCTAAAGTACCAATTGGCCACCACTCAGTTGGTATTTAACACAACACGATAATTACTAACTTTTTAACCCAACCTCCACTTGGTTTTGGCTACAAGTATTGATAGAAACAAAACAAAACAAAAAAGCCGAGGCAGACCTTGAGGATCATTACATGTATGGCCAGGCCTATCAATGGGATGGGCAAGGCCCATCGGTTTTAATTTGGGTCTGAAATTCAATATGATAGGATTAGAATATATTGGTTCAAATTTGGTTTAGTTTTATTAAGACTAGTATAAGAGCACATGCCACTGTTACCCACAAACTGTTCCTACATCAATTTGTACCCACAAAACACTACTACGGTTATTGGAAAACATGAATAACAAGCAAGATATTCCCAATGAACAACTATAATGTCCCATGGGTATGGATGCAGGAACAGCTTGTGGATAGCCCACGGTATATGAATACTCATCATCATAGTCTAAGCTATGCCTCAATTATATGAGATTGGTGACATGCTTCCTTTACCATTATTCCAATATTGCATTTACTGTCATATCTATTGTTAAATTATGGCCCCTTAAATCATTTCTGTTTAAATATATTGTTCATGCAGAAACATAGCTATGTTTGGTTTGAAGGAAAAGGTAGGGAAAGGAAGGAAAAGGTTAAGAAACCTATGAAAGAAGCATACCCTCCATCTGCATGCTTGAAAGAATAGAAACTTTCACTATATTATAGGTAACGTGGCTTTGTTATCCACCATTGAAAGGAGCATTTCCTCAATTAAAGCTAAATCATATTAAGATATTTTGAGTAGAGATAGCCAAGAGTATGCTAATCATAATTCAGTCTTGTGGGAGTATCAAAAAAAAGGAAAAAAACAAAAGAAAAGAAAAGCCTGAATAATAACAGGGTCAGTTAATGGGTCTGTTGTTCATGGATCCTAATAGTTTCTGGATGGTGACCACTGACCAGTCTTCTGACAACTTTTTCTCCTTTCAGGAGAAGAGCCCCACGTCTCATATCTCATAGACGTGAAGCATGAATCTCTGCATCTTCTCTTTCTCAAGGCCCATCCAGACATTGATCCCTCCCCCATTTCCCATGAAATCAGAAAGCAACAGCACAAACTCATCAGTCCCACTCACAATCGGCCCACAATGAATGAGTTTTCCACAGCCGAAGTTGAGATCATGGAAAGGCAGTTTCCACCAAGCTGACAAATAGAAATTTCCGTTTATGGTTGCAGGAACCCCTTTATGGATCTCTAACCAGTCTATCACTGACCTTACGTAGTCATCTGACACTCTGTCCATTGCTCCCTTCACCAGCTCCACACAGAAGGAGAGTGGCTTCTCAGCCAGATCCACCACCTTTGCATTGGCAAAAGCTGTGACAACAGCATTTCCTGTGAACCCATGTGGTAAAGGGGGAGATATCTTGGACCTTATGTCCACTGCAAATAGAATGGTTGAAGTCTCATCTGGGTCATCAAACACTGCTTTGGATCTTGCTCTCCATAGGTGAGCTACAATGGCTTCAAAGTTTGAACACTTGACCATGGCCTTGCCTTTGAGGATGCTGAGCATGCTAGAGGTAAAACAGAAGAGCTTGTGACTGTACTTGCTGGAGAACTGTAACAGTCGGGTGGGTTGGTTGGGAGAGGAGAATGAGGAAGTTACTGAAGCTATCTCTAATTTCTCTGTGTACTCAGTATGTGGGTATTTGATCTGAGGTGGGTTTCTTGCTTTCAGGCATGTTCTGTCGTTGTAGATGGCTTGGGTATTCAGGCCTTCCCCGCTGCAAATGGAGGCAAGGTTCTGAAACATTTCACCAGCTGATTTCCCATCAAGTACACTGTGGTTTGTCATGAACCCAATTGAGAAACCTCCACATTCGAACCTTGTGACCTGCAAAACATTGGACAAACACAGCATATTTCACAGAATCAGAGCTTTTTTTCATGGAGATATTCTGCTTTTGAATTGATAGGTTTATGAGCATAGTTGCCTGAATTGTGAATATTGGTTTTTCTGATAGGCTTAGAGAGCGATCAGGTCGATGAATGAGATGATGGAAGGTTGAGTTGGGAAGGGATAAATTTCCGAGTTCCTGCAATGTTAGCCTTGATTTTGCACTCACAAAGGGGACCCCAGCATTGCTGCAGACAAGCTCCAACCTTTTGGTTTCAAGGTTGAAGTTAAGCCTGCCAGCCATGAAATAGTAAGGAATGAGAAGCACCTCAGACACTGATTTCTTCATTCTTTCTGATATATCTAGCGTCCATGAAGTCTTGCATGGAGGAACTTCAAAGAAGAAGACTGTCTCAACAGGAAACGCCACTGCTTGATCAATGTTAGACAGGAAAACTTTCTCTACTGGGGTTGGATTTTTGGGAGAAAACAGTGTTACTGGTTCTTCCTTCACTACATCTTGGTTTGATATGGACACGACGACCTCCATGGACACAGAAACCGCAGCAGGTTGTAACAATATTCTGGATTGATACTTGAACGATCGAATGCATGTGAATCTTCTTCTATATAAATATATATAACCAAATGGATATCTATTGTGTGTAGGGCCAGAGATTAGAATTAATGATGGGCATGAAGAGCATGAGAAGGATTTTCTCGCTCACAAGTCTATATTGATTATCGATTGGTCAAAGAAGTGTTCTTTATTGAATAATGATGCAAGCTCCCCATTCATGCATCTTAAGATGTGGACACGACATTGGCATTTCCTTCATTTATATAGTCATAGACTATAGATTTCCAAGAACATGTATGTAAAGACCTCTCTAGAGAGATGCATATATATATATATATATATATATATATATATATATTAAGGATGCTACCAAACAATTGTATATGTTTTTAACAATATAGTATTGATCTATATATATATACACTAATTTTATTAGTGAATGGACCATAGTTGAATTAAAATCTAAATTCTTCAAATATAGATTTTAGGATTTAGGGTTTAAACTTTAAAACCAGCCTGACCCATGTCCATCAAGTTTATACCCTGCTTTATTAGATAGAGCCAAAATATTTTAAGAGTGTTAGAGAGATTTAAGAGGAAATTAGAGATTTAATGGAGGAGGGAATATGTAACAAACATTGACAATTGGAGAGAGAGAGATTGATTGATTGATTGATTGTTGTAGAGAGTAATAATGGATTTTATAGAGGGTTTTATTTGAGTAATGATGGATTTTGTAGAAACAATTACAACCTAAGAGGGTTTTTATTTTGACTTATTGTATTTTTGATAATTTAATTTAATTAGAGTTCAACTATGGTCCATTCAATAACATTAGTTGCACATTATATTTAGATCTCAACCAATGACATTAAAATTTTCTTACTTTTCATTGGTTCATATTTTACAAAAGTGTATTTTTACGTTCAGTAAGGTGCACTTACCATCACATTAATTCAATCAATCACATCTTTTGTTACACGGTGCAATGGATGCATCATAGAATTTGATTATTAAAAAACTAATCACTTGTGTGAGAAATGAGAAGAGGACGAGGAGGTCCATATGAGCTTTGTGGTGAGAGGAGCCTTAACTTCTCTTCTTTCCTTTTTTTATTTTAGATAGATTACCTTGGTTTGATTTAGCCATTGGTGTCACCACAAAAAATTGAATACCTCACCCCCTTAAATTATAAATAACCTGCCATATGGACACTTCATTTAACCAAATGGACATTACTAGAAGACTCTAGGTACCCTAAAACCCTTGCCTATTAAAATTTGCCCTAAAATATCTTCGTTTACCCCTCAATCAAAGCAAGATTCTTTTTCAGCTCTTCTCATCGATCAAGAGTCATCATCTCATGAATCCCCTAAATACAAGATTCTTTAGACCCATTGGACCCCACCAACAAGTCCAAGACCCATGAAAACCCCACCCTACCAAATTTCACCTAAAAACTCCTTCTCTAACATTCAAATCGGGCAAGATTCCTTTTCGCAAGTTGTCCTTGTTATGCACAACTTTCCTATGGTCTGGCACTAACATGATAACCCTTCCAGAGGTAATCTTGGCCACACAAATCTGCCAACCCTTAGATGAGAATATTTCATTCTTGTAGCTTTTAATAGAATATCCCTTGAGAACCCTTGAAATATCCAAAATTAAACCCTCACCTTTACTCTTACCTAGAATACCCCTGAATTCACCCTATTTGGACTAGTTTATCCTTGAGAACCCTCAAAAGATCCAAAATACCATTCACCCTTCTTCCAAAATACCCCTCATTTTCCCTCTCCCCAAAATACTCATATTCTTATCACCTTTGAACACTTCTACCTCCAAAAATTCCAAAACATCTAAACTATCCTCAGTCCCCCTTTATCCCAAAATGCCCTTGCTTATCAAATTCTTGGACTCTCATACCCTTATATCTTTTCTAAATACCCAAACTACCCCTACAATAAGCCAATAATTAGGGAGGGGAGGGGAAACCCATAATGAGGAGAACCTTGGGAACCGAGCTGTCTAACTTCTCTCAAAAAACTACTCTCAAGACATTATTCTTGCCACCCGACAGGATTTCTTGATATATTTTGAGGTTTCAATTAATTTATTTCCTTTTTCCCCCTTTCATCATTTTTTGTATTTCATTCTTCCTTTTTCTTACTTCATTTTTGAAAGGGAAGAAAGAGAGTTTCAAGGCAGAAAAAAAGCATCATTGCTAGTCAGGAGCATACTTAAATAAGGGTCTACACCATCACCTCTCCTCGAACCTACATTTGCTAGCCCCTCTTTCTCTAGTGTTTATCCCCTATGTGGTCAATTCTAATGACACCAAAGGATTGAACTGAAATCAATCCAAGACCATAGTATCTCCCACCTCCCTCCAGTTGTAGTAGCAATTATTTAGGATCCAAGCAAAATAGAGATTCGAGATGCATAATATCTTATTTTCTTAAAAAAAAAAAAAATGCATAATATCTCTACAATCTACTTCAAACACAAGCATTGGTAATCTTTTCCCATGTTGGATTTTGGTTTTATTCCATGCCATGTTTAAGACGTGATGTCTGGTTAGTGTCTTTGACTTTTGTATCTCCCCATTCATTAGCATGAACTCGTTCCAAGAGAGGTTAGAAGGGAGAACCCCATTAAATCCACCCTCATTGGTGACCAATTAGAAGGGAGAGATGCATTGAGCAAAATGGTGATTACCAAGTCTCTCTCACTCTCTACATGTTCGGTTAAGTTTTTGTTCATTGTTGGGTTGCCTTTTATGATTATTAAGTAAGGTGAAAATGGAGGGATGGAGAGTCCATCTAAAGCTCTATACCATTTTCATCTCAAGTAGGAGTTGGTTCCAAGAAAGGTGTGAAGGGGGCACCCCAATATCACCAACTTTGTTGGATTCCAACCTGAAGCACTTCTATGATTTAAGGGTTCTTTTATTGGATGTAAAGCTCTCATGGAGATTCATCTTTACTCTGTTCTCATATCTTTTTTTTTTTCTTTTTTTGCAAGAGAGGTTAGTTATGTCGTTAAGGATTCATCAGGTATGAGATAGGGGTGCCTCACCCCTTCCCTCTCTTAGGCCAAGAATCCCAGAGTCTAGATTTGAGCAGCCCAGGTTTTTGGAGTCACTATGGAGAAATTTCAAAAGAAAATTATACAATTTTTAGGGAGGGACTCACCACCATGAGTTCATGGTGAGTGGCAACTCCAAGAGGCTTCTAGCCAAATTTTCAGCTTCACATAAGGCAACTCCACTGGGGTTGAGCCAAAGTGAGCCCTTGAAAGGCAAGGGCTCTCTCTCTCTCTCTCTCGCACCGAAGGATTTTCTTAGAGATTTCACAACTCTTGACTTTGTTTCAAGTACCTGCTCTTGTTTAATTCTATTTGAATGTGTCCTATTTGTATCACTAAAACTTGGTGAATGTTTTGTTATCTGTATGGGCTTTGTGATTTATAGGTTATCTCAAGATTGTTTATTATTAGGCAATTTTGATTTTGGATTTAATAGCAAGATGAGCCTTGTTATCTTTAAATTCTTTATTGTTCTATTTTAGGAAAAAAAGAGAAAAAAAAAAAAAAAAGAGAAGGATGGCTAAAATTTAGTTTTTTTTTTCATATGAAACCTAGAACAACTAATCTCAAACCCATTTTTAAATCTAGAACAAGTTACAAGGTGCAAACCCTGTTACAAGTCTAATCTCAAGTTTGACAGGTTTTCAAAGGTTTAAGTTTTGTTTTAGAGAGTGGTATCTTCTATTTGAAAGTTTATTGTTTTTATTTCAGCTTCCAACAAGGAGGATGGTTGGCTTTGTTTTTTCTTTTCCGTACTAAATTACAATTGGTAAAGAGTCCTACATTTTGATGCTTGAACAAGTTTCATGTTTTAGTTTGTAATTTCCTTGTCACTATAGTTGAGCTGTGTTTTTTGACCATTATGTCTGTCTCCCAAAATAAATTGATTGGTTCTCTACTTTTATTGAAGCAAGTCATGATAAAAAAAAAGAGGAAAAAAGAAGAAAATGGCATGCAAAGTAATGTGTTTTTTCTATATACAATTTCCTCTATTTTGTGCTCAAATAAATGCAGCTCTAGCCTTAACAACTAATTGATTGTTGTTATAATTGCATGAAAAACCAAATTTTGCTTTGACATAAGTTTAGCCTCATAATGCATTGGCTCTCATAGTATTGAACCTTAAGCTCCAATATAATTGTGTCTTAAAGCTGCTTGTGGTTTGAAATCTCACTTTTCCATATCACAATTTTGTTTCAGCTATGCACATTTACAAGGTTTTATTAATCATGTTTTGCAATTGAAGTTGAATGTCAACATGTATGGTCTCTGAAATCTTTTGTTTATGGTGGTCTTCATCTTGAAGGTTGGAGACTGTGGCTTCAATTAATTGAAGGTGCTTTCTTTTAAATGGGACTAAGGAATTCTTTAGCTTGTATCCTCTGAATCGTGTGTATGTGCAATTTCACCCTTTGTTATTGAAGTATAAACTTATGTCTTGAAAATGGTGGAAATGACTACTTTTGCAAGTCCTGGTTGGTTTTAAAGCAAAGAAGGGGAGTAAAGAAGGGGCTTTAAAGTCATCTTAGTCAAGCTTGAGTTGTGCTTTTGTTGTTTTTGAGCAGCAAAATCTCTTATAGGAAAGGGTGGAAAAGAAGGACAACTAAAGAAGACATTCTAACCCTCAAGTTTGATATCAACTAGTAGCCCTTGGAATTGGCTTTGGTGTTCCTTTAGGACCCATATGCAGCATGATAATCCTCAAACTCAATTCAAGCTTGAACCTCTGTGATTTAGGACTATAAAAAGTGGCCGATGCTCAGCTTTAATCTCAGGTCTTGCTATTGGTGCCTAGCTAAAGGTGTCTATGTTAAAATCATGTTTGTTGAAGAAAACTTTAGACCTTAATGGTACCTAAGCTGCTTTAGGACTGATGAAGTGTT